GAAGTAGGAATAATTAGAAGGTAAAAATAGTAAGAGGTTTAAAAGCATTCTGAGAACTATGAGGATTGCATGTAATAGGAAAGGAGTATTGTCCAGTGATAAAAAATTTAATAGATTTACAGTAGAACTATAATTTTTAAATAAAGAACAGTCTGAAAGACAACACTCTATTGAAGATCAGAGTTCTTAGGCTATAAAGATTTTCATACTAGATGTTTGGAATGTTTTTGAATTGGTACAGTTCAGAATTTGTGTTTAAATGTTCTATGATAATGATTGTAAGAAACTTGAAAGTTCTTGGGTAAAATATCAATCTAGTTGATTTTGTTTGTTTCTCCAGAAAAACAGTTTTTAAAGAAATTTATTTTCTTTTTGTAAATTTGATAAAAATATTGTTTAAGCATCATTTATGGTTGTAGTTTTGTTTATTATTGCATATATAATCATGATTTATATTATGCTCTATTAGAATCTTTCACATTTTCTACTCCCATGTTTCCTTTTTTCTTTTACTTTTTAATTACAACTAATGATTTAAAATATATAGAAGAATTTTTTAACACTTCTTTATTTTTGTTTAATAACTGTTAAAGATAGCATACAAAATTTACATAATTTAGTTTTATAAAATTAAAAAATAATAGTTCTATATTTCTTAAATTATTATTTACATTTATAAGAAAGTATTTAAAATATGTTAGAAAAATTTTAAATATTCTTTATGACAATTTAAACTTTAGTAGTTTAATTTTAAAAAATAAATTTGACTTTTCTTACAGAATTAATTTATGCATAAAACACAAATTAATTATAAAGCCAAACAAATTTGCATGCTTAATTTATAAATGCCATATCAATCAGAAAAAATTGCAATATTCAGTGAACTATCTAAATTCTAGACTAATAGAATTGAAGTTAGATTAGGCAGCCAGTTAAAATTTCTACAGAGCAAAATGATAAAGTCCATCAAAATTTCATTGCATGAAAATTTTATTATATAAAATCAATTTATGTAAATTAGAACTGAAAAGGTATGTAAATAATTCATTCTCATTTTAAATTATTTATTGTGTAATGCACAATACCAACAAACAGATTAACTTATAGCAACATATTGTTTAAATAATAAATCAACCTAAAATTTGTTAGGAAAATATTTAAGCATTTCATAGTATAGAAACAGATTTTATATTCTTGGCTACAATTCATTTCATAAAGGAATTCAATATAACTTTTATTTATAGAGATTTAACTTTGTATATTTTATAAGTGTTTATGTATGATTTAATGTTCTGGATTTTTATTAAATTACAATATAAAACAAATCTGCAAATATTAAAATAATATTTATCTAACATGTTTTATAATATAAATAACTTAATAATGTATCAAAATTAATTAAAATGTAATTATTGTTACTTTGAATCATTGTATTTCAATAAAAAATTTCAAATTGTAAAAAATCGTAACAATTTCCATAATTAAAAAATATGACAAATTTTTCCAAAACAGAATAGATTATAATGAAAGAACAATGTGGTCACCAAAAAAATAATCTCATGAAGTAAAATAAAAATGATCAAAAAATGCTATCAATTTAATCACTTTGACAGAAATATCATTTTACTGGATGTATTTTATTACAGGGAGTAAATTTTTATTATTTTAAACTGACAATTTCAATATAATGACATTCAATAGTGAAATACTTTCAAAGTATTTCAAAAATCTAATAAAAATAAATCATTCACATCTCAACATTCTGGCATTTGTTAAAATAGCATTTTATTATATTTTATCCATAATAATAATCCATAATATAAACTGTTGTTTTTCTTTTTTTAGGTAAGTTTTTAACCTAGTTGGTTGTTTATTTTTTTTCGAATTTATTTATTTTTTTTTTTTCGGATAGTTCTCCCATGTAGTTTAAGTTTTTGTTTTTTCTTTTTGCTGAATTTGGTTTAAAATAATTTTGAATTGTGTAATTTTCTATTAATATCAAATTATGTTACTGCAATGGATGGATATAATATGTGAAATGTGTATATTATTTTGTAATGTTTTGTATACTTTGTTTTATTCTATATCCCCGCATCAGGGTCTTTGTACCAGAATGCTAAATAAAAAAAAAAATAATAATAATAATAATCCATAAAAAAGGTTAAGTCAAATATTTTATTGAATAAACTATGAATTTTCCTCCACTCACTTTCTTTTCCTTGTATATTTAATAAAACTTATAAAATAATTAATTTCAGAGGTGACACTCAACAAAAATAACTCTTCCATATTGGGATATGGATTTCATGCATTTTTTGCCCCTCTTCAATCCAATTTATTAATGTTAAAAGAACTTTAAAAAATTGGACAAACATTAGAGGGGCAAAAACCTGCCTGAAATGCATATCCCTATATAAAAGAGTACATCTTGTTTTAACTAAAGTTAATAAGTTTTATCAAATATAATAAAAGATGAATTACTAATAATCAATCTTATCTGATATTTTAGAATTTAGATTATTATAAATAAGAATGATCTCAAAAAACTTTTTAAAATATTATCAATTTTATCAGTACCTTTTTTGTGTATAATACTTTTAATACTATATTTATTTATTATTTTTGAATTTAAGTCTACTAAGCACACAACTAAAGTATCAGTATGATTATCAAGATGTTTGTTTCTCCAGTAGATTAATTTCTTTGATTAATTAACAATGGACATTTTTGGCTGCCTTCATCTTCATGTTTATTGAATATCAACTGAATGAATTCTTTCTAATAGAAATCACATAAAACAACTCATGCTAGTATTTGAAAGGAAGGCACTCTAAAACACCTGCTGCATTCATAGTGAAGAAGGACAATGTATTGCATTGGGACAAAGTGCAAGTTATTAGACCCATCAGAGACTCTACCATTAACAAGTATCCTGAAATAATTGAAAAGTATAGACATGGACTAAGTACCAATTGCATAAACCAGAGAGATGCTGATGGATTCACAAATGTATGAAAGATGCTAATCACTAGAATGTTGGTTTCCCTATGGAGAACTGGATGCACATTTATTTCTTTGTAAGCATCTGTGGTTGTCAGTTCTACACAATTCTTAAGCATGTTAGCTGAACAGTTTCTGATTATGCATACACATTATCATTTGTGTTCAAATTGCTAAATTGAACTATATGTTCAACTATTAGAATGATCCCCTTCATGTGAAATTCAACTGGAAAGAATACTATTTGGATGATGTTCAATAAACATGAATATGGCTGATGAAGGCAGCCAAAGACATTCATAGTTTATTAATCAAAGAAATTAATCTGCTAGAGAAACAAAGGGTTTTGATAGTTATAGTTTTGAATTTATTAATGCAATAAATTCCACTTTTTGATTTTTACTTTTATTTACTGATAAAATTTTTATGATTATATGAAATATCAGATTTAAGAAATTGTAATTTTTTCGTTAGCCATCTTGATATGATATTACATATATTAATGTTTACAGTATTTCCAGAAATAAATTTTCAGTTTATGGCATTAAGCATAAGTGGAAATAGAATTTGATTTATAATATCTTAATGACAAACTTTAGGATAGTTATTCCTGGAAAATTTGTCAGAAAAATTGGAATGTTATGTTAGCCACATTAAAAAAAAAATTATTAAACACTAAAATATATATAATAATATTGGGTAATATTTATGAATTGAGCACTCCATTTTAGATTCTGAATTTTCAAGTTTACCTAAGAAAGATGAACCAATATTATTCATATATACTTGTTAAAAAATTATTATTATTATTCAAAAATTTTAATAAATATAAAAATTTTCTTTGAATCTAATCATCTTTCTCTTCTGATTAAATGTAAATCATATGTTATAGCAACATTTACAGAGATCATCGTACAAAATCAATATAATCTAATAAATTACAGATTGAACATATTAATGAAATTTTTAGTAGTTACAATGATTAAATATTCTTTTGATGGACTTTAATCAAAATAAATCAATAAATCAAATTAATCAAAATAAATCAATTTCTTATTAGTTAGATTTCAGATAGTTCCTGTATCATAAAATTAATTTCAGTCATGTATTTCAGCATAGTTATGAGTTTACAAGTACAATGTTTTTAAAAGATACAATTGCAATATATAAAGTAATTGTTTTCCAGTTTTTAAACTTTCATTCTTATTTAATGATATGAAAAGTAATGAGCCACTTTAGCAATTCAATTGATAATCAAAATTAAATTGAGCAAACACAAAAATTATTAGTATTTTTGTGCTTTTTTTTAATGTTATATATTTTTTTTAATATTTAATACCTAAATATATTAGGCTAATTTATATTAATGAGTGTATTTATCAATCTGTACATATAATTTATTAATTATGATTAGGAAATAAATGATGAGTATATAATAAATGAGAAAAAATATTTTAAATTAATTAAAAATTAAATTACCATAAATATAAATCTGAAAAAATGGATTAAATGAAAAATTTAAATNTACCAATAATATGATGGTTTGTTTGGTTTAGCTTTAATTAATAATTGAGTTTGTGGATTTGTTTATTTATACATATTAAAATTGAGAAACAAAGGTTGGAACCAATATAAATTCATCCATTACAAGAACATTTTTGAAGTATGTAATTCAACTCAGTCTTAAATCATGTAATCATGATTTAAAGTTTTTTCTAACAGTCATCAAATTTAACACCAATTTAACAATTATATATGGAAATTTCATGGGGATTTCTTATTTAACCATCTTCATTTAACAGTTTACATTTATAATTGACAATTAGTATATTATTAAAAAATTAAACTAAACTATCTTAGAATAATCCACTTCAAACAATAGTAACAAAAATAATTAATATTTAGTTTTTTTATTTTAATAAAAAATTCAAAAAGAATTTGTGAAATTGAAAATTTTTCTGAGGTTTAATTCTTAGGAATAAAAATAAACTTAAAATGACTGATAAAATTTTAACAAATTTAATGTGAAAAATGATATTAACAAAATAATTTAAAATAAGAATAAATAATTTTAACAATTACTCAAATCACTATCAAACTATTTACTGAATGACAAAATAGGTTTGAAACAATTTCACAGAAGCTAATTGCTGATTTTTATTGTTATACAGTAATTCTTTTATAAAAATCAACTTGAAGAATGCATAAAAGATTTTTCTTATTATTTGTTTATAAAAATTTGAAAAGATGTATGTGTTAATAAACTTTTCTAAGTTATATTAAGCACCATACAAGTCAATTTACTTCAATGCTGAGTAAAAAGAATGGGGAAATAGTTTTGATGTATATATATATAATTTTTTTTTTGGTGCTATTTTTCTGATTTCACCATTGTTAAAAGAAGAAAACAATCTTTAAGGAAGCTCTGCTGAAAATATCTTAGGAATATTAGTTTGATTACATTATAAAATTACAACAAGCATCATTTTTTTAAATTTAATCCTTTGGATTCATAAATGCTTTATTCAGTGGAAATACCTTAAATTCAGCAGTCTTTTATGTGATGGTGATTTAGCTTCTCTACATTTATTCACTTTTCACATGAAAATAAAAATAATATTCTTGCTTGAAATTGTTTATTTTGTATTCAAATTGAAGCAGCATCACAGCATTTAAGATGGCTGAAAAAAATTACATCTTTACGTATAAATATATTTTATTTACATAAATTTGATATTATATTAAATAAATATTAAAAATGGTAATTGGCAATAAAATTTTAATCTAGTACATGTGATAGTTAATTAATTATATTCCAGAGATGGCTGTTAGATTTAAATTGAACTGAAGAATAAAATCAAGATCCATCAAAAAAGAACTGACCGAGAATCAAATTCATATCTTTTGTTAAAATATTGAATAATTTAACTATTTGAAATTATCAGGATAAACTTTTAGGGTAGCTTAGCCCTCTTTTAGTGAATTCTTAAGAATTTATTCTTGAGATACTTTATTTTAATTGTGTGACATGCTCACATTCATTCAAGAAATCAAGTACATATTTTAAGAGTAAGCACTTTCAGGAATTGTTATTTTTATCTTTAGAACAACTAAAACTAAAAAATAACTTTAATTCTTTTGCTTCTGTGTCCTTACTGTATTAAGTTTTTTTATTATATCATTGTCTTCGTTGGACTTATACTGGTGTTGTTTCAATTTTTGCAAACAGAGACCTTATTCATAAAAAGAAAATATTTATTTATTTTTTCACTTGGTTTTTCACCTGGTGAAAAAAATTTTTTCACGTTGTCATCTGTTTTCACCAAATATGGTCTTTCTGAGCAGTGTTAGTCTTCAACACTTTCATGACTTTCTGCAAATGCTTTATGTCATCTGAACACTTCATGCCCTGAATATTGAGTGCTGTCCATAGGCCAGTTTCACTTTTTCATGTGTTTGTATTGTTTTTATTTTTAACAAGTCTCATACAGAATTTGATTGCATAATATTGCTATAAATGCCATTGTTCTGTTTCTGTAATAGAACACTTGTACACACACTAGAGTAAACTGCTCTAGAACAAAACATTCACTGCACATTAAAACTTGTTAGTGATAGAAAGTCACATGCTTTTTTTCTTTTTTGAATGGCATTGCTGCATGACTACAATGTCGTCATTACATGTGCAATGCATAGTGTCTCATTACTTTTTTGCCATACTAAAAAGAATAGAACAACAAGCAAAGAACAAAGCAGTTTTTTTAAATGAGTCATTGTAGAATGATATAGCCTATAGCAGGGAAAGCAAAAGTTCAGTGGGAGCCGAAATGTAAGTTTTGCAAAATGCATGGGAGCCACAGTTCTGTACCGCAATTTTATTATATACTGTAATATAAATATAATAAAAAACAAATATTGAATTTTTTTAATAAACATATTTCACAAAATTGTGGAAATAAAATTGTAAAAATAATAATAAAAAGCAGAAATTAACACTTTCAGCAAGAGCTGCACGTAACCCAAAAAGAGCCACATTTGCTCATGTCTGGCCTATAGTAAATTTAAAAATTCAATAAGTAACAAAATTAAAAAATTTTATACATTGTACTATTTAAATTGGTGTATTTATATGAAAACTGAAATAATAGAAATTAACTGTTAAAGTTTAAAAATTTCAAAAAGTTTATAAATTAATTTTAGTAGTAATGTTTTGTTCTCAATTTTTTCAATTTTTGAAGGGTTTTGATCATTAACCATCTCATGCTGTCCAGACAGGCTGGGATTTCATCTGTCTATATTAACTAGAACAAACTGATTAGTTCAAAATGAATGAAAATGTAAGAAAAGAGTGGAAATCACTGGAGACCTTCAATCAAAAATAGACTGAAAATGATTGAACAAACAGTTGTGTTTTATTTAACTGATACACAACATTACTCATTTTTGTAAGATAGTTCTAATTTAATATTTCCTAATTAATATTAGAGCTAAACAATTTTCAAATTACATTGGGCTATATTAATGCAACTAATTACTAATTAAATGTCAAATAATTTAGCCTAGAGATCTCTTAATAAATTCAATAATTATAATTAAATTTATCAAGCAATGGTTCCTAATGTCTGCCTCTAGGCCAAATTACCTGACATTTAATTAGTAATTAGTTGCATTAATACAGCCCAATATAATCTAATAATTGTTTGGCTTTAATCTAAAATTAGGTTTGTAGATGTTTATATTAGCCTAATTTAATTTAATTTATTAGCTAAATATTAAGGGTACTCAAATTAGTAAAAAGTTCAGATTATTGAAAATTTAAATAAAACTTAAAATTGAAACTAAATTATCTACAGAATAACATTATTTTTAATGAAAAAAATTATTAATTCTTGTTTTTTTCTGTTGACGAGTGCTATTTTTGCAATTTTCTTCTCAGTCAAAATAAGAGCTTTCTAGATTTCAGAAAGTTTGGATTATCAGTATTCAGGTAACCAAAAGTATACTATACAGATCTGGATTTTTAATAGCTACAAACAAAACGAATATAAACTACATACTTTATCAAACCTTTTTACCTTTATGTTATTGACTTGATGTTTGTTGCTGTATTTCAATTTTTTCAACTGTCATATCTGGATTCATCATAGTCGCTTCTTGAATTGCTTCAGCTAATGCTCGATCATGATCAATTGGATCACCATCACTTTGAATTGTTATTTTTTGTTCCACTCTTGTTTCAACAATTCCATCATGTTCCATTTTATACTGAAATATTCCATAATAATCATATCAATCATATTAATCTCTAACGAAATAATACTTTTATCAGAGTAGGTATGATTAATGTAGAATATAAACTAATCTATTCTATTTATAATAAGGTAAATAAGACAACTAAGCATTATTCTTATCATATACAAATAATAAAATCTCATTCAGAAAGCAAGCACTAGTCTTATGAATAAGATATTATGGGAAAACTATTTCTAAGTTTGAAAATTTTTAAGTGTGATGATATATTATGTAATAGATTACTAACTAATCAAAAATAATTTTCCAATCAACAAATCATCAAGAAGTAATAATAGGAAAAAATAGAACTTATTATAATATATTCAAAACTAATGTTTAAATTTTAGTAATTCATTATAATACAGGAAATCCTTGAGAATTCAAACTCAGATAGTTTGTAATCTCATTGTTTGTAACTATATTATTTTTCCCAGCTAAGGATATAGAAATTTATGTGTTACGGAATTTGGTTAGTTCAAATATGGCTACTTTGAAATTCAAAGAGAAAATTCTGTGCAAACTATGATATGTTTATATTAACTTATATGTAAACAACCCAAAGCGTGCTCAGCAGAAAATAATAAACATTAACTTAAGTTAATGTTTATTAACTTATATGTTTAGACTGAAGTTAACATCTCCATACCATAAGAGAATAACAGACCATGAACAACTCTAATCAAGTCAACATGGTTTTGCTTTTACAGTAACACATTTTCAGGTGTCACCTTACACATTGACTACACTTTTCTTTTATTTCATAAAATATCACTGGATTTCAGGAGTGAAGGATTGGGCTACATATAGCAGATTGATATTTGTAGGTCTCTACTAGATTTGGGTTATTTACTATTTTTACGGGCTACTTTAAAAATTAATTGGGCTACATTTTGAAAATTCTGCTTTACTTTTTATAAAGCCTATGTGACAACCTGTAAGGTTCTGACTGGACATATGCCATTTACCTCCACTTTATTTATATTATTGTTAATAATTATTAATTAATGAAAGTAATGTTCTGTATACATAGTCATATTCCAGTTGCTTAATAAATTATATCAGTTACATGGCATTTGGTACATTATACAGAAATATGTAAATCTTGGATAATTTGAAACTTGATAATTTAAAGTTGCAATTATTTTGTCACTTAAATTTCAAATTAACAAGGATTTCCTGTAACAACAAGTCACAACCTGATTTAAATAATTAAATCTAAATGATCTACTGAATTATTGGGCTATTTTTAGGCTAATTATTAACTTAGCCTAAAAATAGCCTGATAATTTGTCAGATTATTTGAATTTAATTTAGTAATTCAATAAGAAATATTAATAAGTTCCCAAAAAATTATTAAAAATATTTCTATAAGAAGTTTTTCTTTTTATAAAATAATTTTATTTTTTGATACAACCATGTAAATAATGCACAATCACATAATTCTTAATTTCAGGAACTAAGAATAAACATTAAGATTTATATTATTAAGTTGTTGCAAATGAAATAACTGATTTTTTCTTCTGACTTTGAATGTTTATTACTTTAAAACTTTCATATTAAATCAAAATTGTCTCCACTAACATTAATACACTTTTCTCAATGCAATAAAAATGCATTAATGCAAATCTGATAGAAATCACAAAAATGAGAACCCAAAAAGTCATTAAAGATACTGTACTTTTTATTGTCTTCTATTTATAAATCATATATAATTACAAAACCTTTTAGAATTTATTTATAATCTTTTCATTTTAATAATTGTTTTGCTTGTGTTTAAATATATTGTAATTAATCAGACAATATAATATAACCAGATTCAAGATTAACATTACTAAAGATCATTGAAGAATTATTTATTGCTATGTGAGCAGACATAAACAAGGGAATTTTGCTGATTGTGGGATATGAACACTGAAAAGTTGTGAAATTAAAATCTAGACATGGGACGGTCATTTATTTGATATTTTGTAAAATTTTGTACTAAACTATAGTTGTCTTTTACTCTTTATGTTTAATTTATTTTGTACTAAAATATAGTTGTCTTTTACTCTTTATGTTTAATTTATTAAGTTTTTGTATCATTTTATTTATATTTATTTGTATTATAATATTTTAGTTACATTAATTGTAAAGATTCATTAATGTAAAATTCTTAAAATGATTATGATGCCATGTGCTGTTCAATTCACACAAATCAGTTTATGTTCTATTTTTGTTTGTATTTTAAATTGAATCTGATTCTGGAATCTTAAATTCCAAGAATATTTATTCTGTATAAATATTTTTTTATTTTTGTTCATCTGTGCTAAGATAATTTGCAAATAAACACAGAACATCTAAAAGCAGTTCTAATTCTTTTATAATTCTGTAAATTATAAATTACACCTAATGATATAAAATTCTAAATATCTGCATTTCATCATGAATATTTTATCAAGGATTTAACATATAAAATAATTTTACAATATTAAAAAAATGGACAATAAAATATTTTTATTTTTTTCAAATTAAAATATTTAAGTAAAGATAATATTAAAAATTAAAATAATAACATAAAAATTATAATTAATTTACAAGTTCCATAATTAATAAAAATGGCAAATTATTATTCCTACAAATTAGAGAATTATAAAAATTAAAAATATCACTAACTGTAATGGTTTCCACAGTTCTAGTTTTACTTGATACTGTTGATGAACTAACAACTTCTCCTACTAACGTATCATGTTCTGGTGGTAATGGTAATGGTATTTGATCTGAATCGGGTAAAGATGAAGCAGATGATGATAATGGAGGTGGTGGCGGAATAGGAGGAGGTGGAGGCGGTGGTGGTGGTGGTGGTGGAGGTGGTGGTGGTGGTGAAGAAGCTACAGGTGAAATCTGATCAGATGAAAAGGCAGCTTTTCTTGTTTCAGAAGTTGGTATTGAATCTTCAAATACATTGTCTTGCATTTCATCAATATTATTTTGTTCATATTTCGTGGCTTCTGTTTTTAATGGGTGCTGAAAATATAAAAATATATCAACTATACAAAACAAATTAAATACTATTGGTATATTTTATTTATGTTATCATTTAAGGTTTGAATAATTTTTATGATTAAATGATATAAAATACTGAAATTTAAAAATTTTTCTATATATATAAAGGTTTTTGTTTATTTGATATAATCTAAAAAATGTGGTGTATCGAAAAAATGACTATTTTAAGCAAAAATTCAATTATGTGGATGGCCCAAGCAAGGTTCAAATTAATTTGGATAATTGGAGTTTTATCATATAGTTTTTATTTATTTATTTATTGTGTATATATATGAACCTTGCTTGGGCCATCCACATAATTGAATTTTTGCTTAAAATAGTCATTTTTTGATACACCACATTTTTTAGATTATATCAAATAAACAAAAACCTTTTTCTTTATATTTTCTGTCAATAACAACAATTATTAAACTCAAAAGGAATGAACAAAATTATTTTTCATCATCATTTGCTTAAATATCACAAGACATCTTTTTAATTATTTCCTAAAATTTATAAACATTAAAAAGATTTTAAAACATATATTTTATCTTCTGTATAACAAATAAATATAACATATTATATAATATACCTGTTCTTTGAGACTAACTGAAGATTTATGTTCATTAATAGATCTGTCTGGAGGAATTGCTGGCAGCTTCTTTCCTGTAAATTTGTTTGATCCATCTTGACTGATTTTATTTGCATTGTCAGTCTATTAGATATAAAAATAGTAATGACATTTAACATAATGAATTCATTCAGAAAATAAGTTATCAATTTATAATTATATATTTTTTAATTTGTTTGAAGATCTGTTAATTACAAATTGAACAAGTTTTATTAAATTAGATATTTAATTAATTTTACTAAAATTCTTAATAGTTTGATAAATATAGTAAATAGTAATATTCACTATATTTGTTTGTGTGCATGCACTTATATACATATGCACATATTTCTATTATTTTATTTGTTTTTTGTTTGCAATCTAACAAAACTTGGATTAATATCCTAATCAGGCCAATTTGTATAAGATGGCATTTTTGATTATATTAAATAATTTTTGTTTACAATTTCAACCATAATTCTAAGACTATCTCAACAGTATTCCTGTATGGGGAAATCCCCATGCTCCCAGTCTTTTCCACATACTGTATATATACAAGGGTGAGTCAAAAAGTAAGTTGCAATTGGCAAGAACTTTTTGTTAATAAATGATATTTAGATGAAATCTGGTAGCAACATTGATAATACTTCTGGATACAAGGCATAGCAGATTTGTTGACTTAGCTGCAGAGGTTAATCAGTTTTCAGTTATGAAAGATGTCATGTCATTTGGATGTAATGTTCCAAATTGGAAGTTCATATGCAGAAACTTGTTTCTTATGGGCAGAAAGATGTAACACAACTGCAGGGGTTTCTCTGGAAAATTTAAAAATATCACAATAATTTCATCAGTTTTAAATTTTTTCGTTACTTAAAACTATTTCCATCAGTTTTACTTATTAATTATGCAGGTGCCGGTAGCCTTATCAGATTGGCCTCTGGAAAGCAAAAGTAATACATTAAGCTGTCACTTACAAGGAAGGGGCTACACATGTGGGTCTCTGATTCAAATGAAACTTGAATTGCACATAGCCCTAAACACACATCTTCTTGTCCAAATGATTTTCAAACATTTCCAAAAACTGGACCTCTGAAAATTCAGTGTTTAGTTTATAAGTCTTTGAAAGTTTCATGTCCCTTAGTGGCAATAGCAATAGATAAGACACTATGTACTGATGATGAACAATATAGGTTCGAACCTTTGGAATTTTAGCTTAGTTTGATTTATTTTTTAATGTGTGGTATTATTATTTTGGTTTTTTACCACATCCATTAGCTTTATTATTCCTCATGTTTAAAGCTTATAAAACAAGAGATTAAAAATCACGTTGTCATTCCTCTGTAGATTTAACTTGCATGTTATTAAATAAATTTTTATTTCTTCATATTTATTTTCAGATATGGTGATATTTGAAGTTTAACCAAGATGAGCACATAAAGAAATTGGCCATAATATTAACACAAAAAATAATAAAATGCTAAATTTTCATATCACTTGTCTTTTTCATTCATGTGTAATAATGTCTGAACCTTGTTTGCTTGTGAGGACAGAGTATATCATGATCAAAAATATGTGAAAATAAATGTGAAGAAGTATGTGTAAATGATGTCATAAATTTTAATCTTATTATATAAGCTTTAAATGTGAAGAATAATAATGCTAATGATGCAGTAAAATAATCAAATAACAAGCAATTATTTATTGTGTTATCATCACAATGTTGGGCTGCAATTTTTAATCATATTTTTAATTTATTTAATTTAAAATATTTGCTGTCCATCTCAAATTAGTAATGATTTGCCCCTCTACATTATACTTTTACTTTAACAATAGAGTTGTGCCAATCATCTATCTAAAACTTTTCAGGGAAAAATTTTTGAATTGAAACAACATGACTTCTGGATTGCATCAGAAGTTCGTATATAGTTAATCGTGGCCTCCTGACCAAGATTTCCATGTCTGGTCCCATCTTACATCTATCTAACTCTGTTCTTGAGATTAAGGAAAGACAGTGGACAGATGACAGTGGGAATTTATAAGTCTACAATTTTTTCAAATTCCAGATCAATAATGTTACACATTAAAAAAAAACCAAAGCTAAACTAAAATTCTGCCTGGCTCTCTACTTGTTACAGATAGGAATAATTTTTTATTGAATAATTCTGAGTAACACATTTTATCACAATGTTTAAACAGTATTTCACAGGTTCTGTCATGTCAAAATTTTTGTTTTAGTCTACTGAAATAAGATCAAAGAAAAAAAAATTAACCAAAAAAATTCCTCAAATTTTCTGTCAGTCAATAAATTCTCCAATCTAGAAATGCTGGGCAGCATTTCACAAAACTGTCTTTTGTTCTCAATGTCACTTCCTACTTTTCTGCTTGAATTTGCTGCGTGACATCAAGAAAATACTAGGTGTGTGCACAGGAGCTAGACATTCTATTGTTTTTCCTAAAGAGTGTTTTGTGATTCAATTTCATGCTGAATGTCGAAATAAGCAGATTAGGGTTTTTATTGCCATGTGCTATCACCAGTATTATATTTTTATTGCCACTTTAATAAAAATATCACCAAGTGGCAACTTTGGCACTATGCAGCATGACCCCTGCTACTGAAATTCAATGCCAGTTAAGGGAAGTGTATGGTGAGAAAGCTTTTGCAATGACAATGCCACACCTCATTCAGCAAGCATCATGAAGGCCCTACTAGAAAAATTTAAATGCACTGTATGGAAACATCCTCCCTGCAGTCCAGATCTTTTACCTTTTGATTTCCATGTGTTTGGCCCATGAAAAAGGATCTTTCGAATTGCTGATATGAGTGTGATGAAGACATTACAAATGTGACAGGAGAATGGTTATCACATATTGGACAGGAATACTTCCAAGAAGGAATAGAAAAACCTGTACCACACTATGATAAATGTTTAAATAAATTTGGTGATTATGTTGAAAAGTTATGCTTGGATTATATTTTCACACAAAAATTTTTGACCCATATGTTTCATACTTTTATTTTTGATACAAGTGTAACTTACTTTTTTAACAATTACTTGTCTATGCATATAATTCATTTTGAAGCAAAAATAAAAAGTAAGTAAACAATAAAGAATAAAAATTAAAAAAAATCAATTTATTGCAAGAAATCGAATATAACAATGATCTTCATTAATAAAATAATAATGAAAAATAGCTGGAGTTCCATGTGTTTTTCAAACATATTAATATCAACTTGTCTTCAGTTGAAGATGTTAGTTTTACATAGAATGTATTCAAGTTACATCATTATGGTTTTGAAATTTAGCAAATCAGTATTGTAAAATTTCATATTCTTCTTATAAAATCATTATTGAGATATTTGATATTATCAAGAAATTTCTTAAAAATTGATGCATTATTCCATGTGAAAATTTTTGGTGACAAGTAATTTTCAAAGGAAAATTTAAAAAATAAATAAATAACAGATATTTCATTTTGAAAAAAGAGTTACATAATAAATAGTTTTAACAAGGCATGTGTAAGTACAATGTGTAACTTACACAAATAATTAACAAAGTAAAGCCATATGGAGTAGATTGATAAATTCTCAAATTCTTTTTGGAGACTGTATCAATCAATATTTCAATCTCATAACTGTTATATCAATTTCTATTTCAAAAATACACTCTGACAAAAAAAGCTATTCACTACGAAAAGTGTTGAAAGTGAATAAAACTTTATTAGCGAATATATGATGATTGTAGTAAGTAATTACTATATCATAGTGAAAAAACAACTTTCTGTGCAACAATGATACAATTTAAAGCAACCTTATAGGATTGTCTCTTTCTGGAAAAATGTAGTGATACAGTTGAGCATGTAGTATACAGACATCATATGCTATTCTGTATTTGGAACAACAAAATTGGAACAACAAAACGTTGTTCCAATTCTGTACTTCAAAAGTTTTGTTCAGAAAAAGCTTGCATTTCAGTTGCCTGATGACAATATTTATATTAATATCAAAAGCACTAGCAAAGGAATTTAAAAAAGCCCTTTAATGCTGTTTTTTTGTTGACTTATTCTTTTTCTCTCAAGTAAGTGTGTTAGCATGAATTCCAAAAAATGGCATTCCACGTTGAAGCTGGAAAAACTATGGCATAAATTACATGCCCAGCTGCTTTTTCTGTTGAAGTGCAGAAGACATAAGGTGATACCTAACTGTATTACCCTTAATTACAAATTTATTCAGCCACTGAAAAATGCAATATTTGTCTTGACAAACCAACTAAACCCACCCCATACCATCACTGAGCCTCCCACTTGCTGCTATTTTGAAAATATTTCTTCTTCATCCCTCAAATCATGCCAATAACAAGTCCAACCATCTGGTCCATTGAGATTAAACTTCTCATCACTCCAGATGATGTGCTTCCATGTGTTTGTCCATCCCATTTTTTCCTGTGCTTACTGCAAGTGCTTTTGCTCATGGCTAGTGATGGTGCAGGCTTTTTCTTCTTATAGATGAGATGTACTAACAATTCTTCCAATTGTAGATTTTGATACATTAAGCTCTGGTTTTGATGCTAGTTTTTGTAAAGATGTTTGGTTGCTCTTGATTTCCCTGAAAATACTGCATTTTCCTCTATTCGTAAGCTTTGAAGGTTGACCTGTTAATTTATTTTTGTCCATATTTGTCTCCAAGCTTTATGAAATTGTCAATTACAATTGGAGGATGATTAACNGCGAACTAATGTAACGTCGTATGGTGAGTTTTTGTTCGTATCGTGGAGCAAAAATATGTTCGAATTTCATGTCGTATCCTGAAAATTTCGTATGCTGGGGCGTTCGTAACCTGAGGTACCACTGTATATGGAGTAAAAGAGAATTTACAAGAATAACTGTTAATGGCTGTCATCTAAGAGATGTTTTAACAAAAATTTTTTTGAGATTTTTGAAGTACAGATTTATCTTTACCAAACAGTTTGAAACAAGTGCAGTAAATGGACTGTTACACATATTTGAATGTCTAAAAAAAATTTTTTTTTGATGAAACTTTATCACATGGTGTTAAGAAAAATAAATATTAATTAAAAATAAAAGCAGAATTATCATTTTTCAAAAGCAAATGACTGAAACTTTGTGAA